AATCTAACTGTAACAAACATAAACCAAGAGAAGCAATAACTAAACTGTCCTTACCTTTTAAGTTTTAATTGTATTTTAGGCCTACTTGAGAAGCTGTTTTTGTAATTTATTCTTTAAGCAAGTGATGATATCTACCAGTCATAAACATACAATTAGCTGTGTTTTATTTAGAAAACAAAACACTAACCCATTTATAAGGTTATGATCTGTGAAATCTGATCCTTCTGTATACGAATATTCTTCGCAAAGTGCATTAACAAATAACGATGATATCCTACGGATGTCTGTCCAACAACTCTATCTGTAACGTTTCACTGGTTAAAGTTGTTAAATAATCCTTTGTTGCATGCTTTAATCGTCTGCATGTTCGAGTTTGACACAAAATTATTCACGTTACAATTACTTCCGTTGAAAATGGATGTTTACTTTTTGACTATTCAACAAACAGATATTTTATACGCGAAAAGAACTCTAGGGTGAAAAGAACTAAATTTTATGAGAGTCATAGCTACTTTGGTGATGTTCTATCGTCGAAAATAAGAATGAATCTAGAGAAAATAGCGGCCATTTTATTTCATTTTATTTAGAAAATAGACCACGCGACCAGATTTTATACTGTTAAAAATACTGTTACCTACGTAACAGTATATAAATAACACATGGGTTTGAGGGTAACAGTAAAATTATCATCCCGAGGAAAATACTGTTACCCGAGGCGTAGCCGAGGGTAACAGTATTTTACGAGGGATGATATTTTTACTGTTACTCACAAACCCATGTGTTATTTATTTTATTACCCCGAACAAAAATAGTGTGATGATCTGAAATTGTCAACTAAATCTAACTGTAACAAAAATAAACCAAGAGTAACAATAACTAAACTGTCCTTACCTTTTAAGTTTTAAGTGTACTTTAGGCCTACTTGAGAAGTTTTTTTTCTCTTTTATTCTTTAAGCAAGTGATAATATCTACAAATCATAAACATACAATAAGCTAGGTTTTATTTAGAAAACAAAACACTAACCCATTTACACGGTTATGATCTGTGAAATCTGATCTTTCTGTTTCCAGAATATTCTTAGCATGGTTTTTGACAAAATAACGATGATATCCTATGTCTGTCCACCATATCTGTAACGTTTCACTAATTAAAATTGTTAAATAATCCTTTGTTGCATGCTTAAACCGTCTGCATGTTTCAGTTTGACACATAATTATTTCCATTGTTATGTATGCAACATATTACATGTATATAATTTATATCTGACCAGTTGGTATTTCCAATATTATCATTGTTCTATTTTTAGAACATAAACTACATGTATGTACTAGAACTTTCTTAACTGTTGTAGAAAACTCATGCATTATAATTAGATAGAAATTTCCGGAATGATCTTTATTGTTGAAGTTGCTGGATTATGATTATTATAGAAAATGAAAGACTATTCTAGAAACTTCTTAGCTTAATATATATAGGAGACTTTTTTCTTTCGTATTACCTTTTAAGTAATCAGTGATCTTTTAAGTCATCAGTAACCTTTTAAGTCATCAATATATTTGGAGTATTATTCAACTTGGAAATTAAGTGATTTATTGGAGCTTGGATTATTTTGAAATAGTTAAAATTATTCTTGTGGATTTTATTGTGGGAATTTATTCTAAAGTGTTCTTGGATTTTACTTGGATTTAAATGTGCTATTTAAAAAAAGGATCATTCCAGGATCAGACTAGACATTTGTGATTTCATTTTATTTGGACTTCAGGTATTTGTAAACATAATTTGTTATTTTTCTTTGATAATTTTTCTGTTATAAATTTGTTATTGTTACAAGTTTGTTGCTGGCTTTTCTTTCTCGTTACGCCTGGCTCGTAACACCATTGCAATTACTTCCGTTGAAAACGGATGTTCACTTTTTGATTATTCAACAAAAAGATTTTTTATACACGAAAAGCACACCAGGGTGCGAACAACTAAATTATATGGGTGTCATAGTTACTCCAGAGAAGAAATTGATGTCCTATCGGGGTTTAACGTCGAAAATAAGAATGAATCAAGAGAAAAATGGCGGCCATTTTATTTCATTTTATTTAGAAAATAGACCACGTGACCAGATTTTATACTGTTAAAAAATACTGTTACCTATGTAACAGTACAAAATTCTTAGTCACGTGGTACACTTGCATTAACAGTAAAAATAACTCCCAGAGGCCTATGGGAAATTAGCATTACGAAAAAAGTGAGGGGTAATAATACACCCTATTCTCGGTAACAACTTTACCCATATCCTGTGGTAAAGGCATTAAATGTATAATGGACAATGTTTGAAATGTCATTTAAAGCTTTATATTATTGAACATTACACAAATACAAATATAACAAAAGTTTACCGTCTTGATTGAAAAAATATAGCCGATTATATAAAAAATGCATCAGTTATATAGAGCAACAAATATTAGGTATAATCAAATTAATCAAAAATGAAAATAAAATGTAACCAGTCCTCGCAGTCTCTACAATTATATATAAGAAAGAAAGAAAGAAAAGTATACATAAACATATATAAATGTATATACATCTTTACATCCTTTACATCGTTTGAGATAAATTTGTTCGTTTAAAGGCAGAATAGTGTTTTGGCAGTCAAATGCTTTTACAAAAAAATAAACATTGATAAGCTTCTATTCCAGAATTCATATACAGTCTACATATAAAGGGAACATGTAAGAATAAAGTGAAACTCATCTTATAAAACGGAACAGTTGCTATCAAAGGTATTACTCTAAGTGTGTTTCCCCTGCCAGTTTCAATTCCAGGTCTTTGTTGGGAAATCGCTTAGCCGAGACATTTAACTAATAAAATTTTAAAAACGTGTGCATATAAATAGAAATAACACAGAAATAAGAAATATATATATATAAGACCCGATACGGCAACTATAATAAAGGGAATATGTAACCATGCAAAATCATGATTATAATACAAATTAAACAGAAACCATTGTCATACTAAAAAACTGACTTTGGTAATATTATCACATATACATGTATTGAATATATATTTCTATTCAAATCCTGTGAGCAGATGTGAACAGATCAATTATGACACATTCGTCAAAGGTAAAGAAAAATTTATGCCTTAGCATAGTAATCTTTAATTGTTATAGACCTTTTTTACGACGCGGTCCGTTGCCATGAAAAGTCGACCAGATGTAGTATTTTCAAGCGCATGCGCAATCTGCACAGGGCATAAAAATCATAGCCCCACATAGAAATGTAGTAGAAGATCATAGATAACTCTGTATTAACTGACAGTAAAACTTGAAAATAATACATAGCTTTAAACAAAAATGCAAAAGATGTCTTTTAGCTTCGTGACCAAGACTGACATAAAATATGTGGAAAATAGGATATTTTAAGAATTCCGTTTGAGGCCACGTCGGACTTGAAAATCATTGAGATCATTGTTGTAAAAATGTTGAAATATATCTATTATAAAAAAAACGATATTCCTTATTCACCTTTAAATTGTTTATATAAAATGCTTATTTAAAAGAAATTTATAGAACAAATGAAATCATAGTTAATTATCAGTTTGAAAAAAGGGCCAGAACATGTGATAATGCATGTTCATGAACGTGTTTTTTAATATTCAGTTTGCCTGATTTTATCCTTTATCCGATTTAACGGTATTGCAATACAGTCACATATACACGTGTAAGTAATTTTTTTCAAAATCATAAAATGGTAAAAACATTTCCCAGATGGGCAACGAAACAACACACTTCTTTATCTAGTTTATTGCAGAACAATTTCAAAATCGAGGTAAATGCATCCCATACTATTTATAATGTGTAAAAGTTATTAAATTACGATTATCATAATTTTACGTTATTTACTATGCGATGGCACCAAAACATCCCCGGTTGAATGAAGAAACAAAAATATGATATTAAACACAATGTTGTTTAAATTTAAATTGATGACAATATCCAAGTGCCCAATATCTGCACATTTGAATGCAAGAGATGGAATTTTTATGCTTGTATACAAAAGTTCTTTTGTCAAAATCGAGTGCATCATTTAGGGTCTTTTAATGCGTTTTGATAATGAGCAGATGTTCAAGCTGTTTACTTATATATCAGTTATTTAACAAAATAAAATATTCTAAACTTAAGGTTAATCATTTAAATTTGTTAAATTCTGATAAAATCTATTCTTCTGTTTATACGTTTTAGCACTACATAGAATGCGCATGCGCGATTGCTACTTCTGTTTCTTTGAAAATAGAATAATTTCGTAGTGTAACAAGGTCTATATATATTTAAATATTATTGTATTCAACAGACAGCGTTATTCTTCATGAAGTTCATCTGGCTGATTCTGTAATTTTCTTGAGAGCCTAAAATTGCAAAGAGATTATGAAAGGTGACATAAATCTTCTAAGATACGGATTATCCTACAATTAGAAAGACAAAACCTACGTTTTATGTTAGCGGTTTTCACATGATTTTGCTATATATGACTAAAGAGTACACGCATTATCTCACCTCATTTTCTGAATTCGAATGCAAGTGTGTATACAGATAAGGAAATAGTGACAACATGATACACAAAGGAAATATTTAAGCCCCATTGTATTTGAAAAAAAAAATCAAATATATCGCTTTTAAATACAGTTTCTCAAAATTAAAAAATGGGTTAGCAAAATAATATTACCTTCATACTAACAGTTAGGTAAGTTTCAAATTGTTTTATGAGACTAATTATCTAGAGTTGTTTTTATAAACATTAATGTAATTAAATATTTCTCAAATAGCACGCGAGTTAAGTAGTTATTATAAAAAGTACACTACATAGTTATTTAATTAAAAAAGGTTTTAGAATTTAACCTCTCCCGACAATGTAATATGCGTCCTTAGAAGTAATTATATTGCCTTATTGCATTTTCAGCTATTATCAAATAATTTTTCAAGATGAATTCGACAGAAATATATAATTACCTCTTAAAAATCCTTGCAATTCTCTCAAATTTACTTTGGTTATTTTCGTATATTCTTGGTAAGATAAAAACTGCCAGTGTTACTGAAAAGAAATCAATCTCCATGGGTATAGAGCTGGGTAAAATACAATCAAAGTTTAGCCGAGCTTGTATGTGTGAGACTTGTATCAAGATCATAAGAAATCTACAGATAGCCGGTAAATTATACAAGGCTTCCACTAAGGACATTTTAGGAAGTCAGGACTTCCTTCCAATCAATTTAAGAAGTCATGAGAAATGTAGCTTACTGCAAGTAAGCTGTTTGTTCGAGTATAATTTTCATGTTTCAATGCAAACATTTATGTTTAACTAACAGTATGGTAAGTAACGGGTAACATCAATTATTTTAATCACAAGCTTCTCAAAATGTCATTTCTTTTAGTCCAAATAGTTCAAGGTACCTTAACCTGATTGTTGGGTAAAGATTTTCAATAGAACTAAGAACATTTCTCAGAAAAGGACTGTATTGCTGTTACTAAAAGACAGGGGTAACCATGTCGAACTGAAAATGAAACCTTTCAATAGTTTCAGTCATTTGATCATATACCAACAAATGCTTGGTATAACCAAATATAACGTTTCCAGAAAACATTAAATTCTTATAACAATCATACATGAACATATAAACATGGCATACAACTTCGTAATATATCTATCATAAAAGAGAACTACTACATTTTTCAAACATTATACTAGTAGTACAATCATCTAATGCATTATGACATGATATTAAAATTATATTTACAAAGATATGTACTGGCACAGATAAAAATTGTCAACAATCCTACTTAGTAAATCTCGCTTCTTTTATAACTTTTACAATGTCATTTATTTTGAAAGAACTTAAATAATCCATGATGATACTTATACATGAAAATGGTATTTACAAAAATTTTTTTTTACAGGCAAAGAAAACAATAGATGGAATTGTTACTGATTAGAACACAGACCTGTCTATTCACAAGAAAGTTTTAATGTGCATAAAGTATGTGTGTAGGAACAGTGGTGATTTGAAAACTCATTTAGTTGGAAATATAAGAATTGCTGATGGGACTTCAAAAACAAGTGCGGAACAAAGTGAAATCACTTGGACTTAACATGGTGAATCTAAATGGATTTGGTAGTGACGATGCATCTGTAATGTTTGGGGGAAAAAGTGGTGAAGGATAGTTGTTACGATGCCCCTGTGTTGCCGCATGTCCATTGTATGGCCCATAGACTTACTAAAGCCTGTTCAGAAGCATCAAAGGAGGTTCCGTACTGGGCTATTTTGAAAAACTTGTATGTTTATGTGTCAGGTTCGGGTATCAGAACATATAATCTTGAGGCAATGCAAGAAATCATGCAAGAACCACAACATAAACTAAAGGATCCGATATATATTCATACTTTAAGAAAGCCCAAAACGGCAAAGTTGAAAATCTTGCAGGCTCGGTTTTCATAACCTCAGATCCCCTTACAAATTTCCATTGCCCTTCTAGCACCGGCAAGCAGAGTTCAACATTTATACACGAATTTAGATATTTTTTGTTATTGAGAAACATCCCCAGATGTGTCTATACGGCGTTTATCATGGATTAACACATGAATCACTTTGTAAATCAGTCTGCAAAACCGAATCAAACTTAGGCCTGGACTTTCCTTACCCCAGATAACCTAGAAATGTTGATGAGATTATCCATCTGGCACAAGTGAACATAACTGCCTTTATGAGAAAGCAATAAGATACTGGCGTCTTGAATGGCTCAACTTTATAAACCAAACAAGTGACATTACAATAAAAATGTAAAGATCTGACTCTTGAGAAGTTGTGACTATGTTAATGTACCTTAATATCATACAATACTGCAATCTTTGTTCAAAATTATGTTAAAAGTGTTATGCATTTCGTAGCAAACAAATGATGGAAGTAATCATACCACTTTAAATATGATTTGAGTGTTCTAAATGATAAATATTAAACTATATTTTAAACGAAATATTATATTAGCTAGAGTTTCTAAGAGACTTGTTTTCAAATGATATTATAATTTTTGTTTTGCAATATCTTATTATCGATAATGATTCTGTGAATGTATTGATAATTTTCTATTTTTCATTCATTATTATTCATTCAAAGACAACATTTGATAATGCATTTGATGATTGTACTATCATATTTGAAAAATGTTTGATAATGTAGTATTTCTGTGGGTTGCGTTCATTGGACGCCGCCCTTCCTTGTTGATCTTGTTTATCATATTTCATTAATGAATGTTAAATAACTAAGCTGTATGCCATGTTTATATGTAATTATGTGACTAATATAAGAGTTAAATCTTTTCTGGAATTTATAGTTTTTGTTATATCGAGCATTTGTTGTTATATGAGCAATGACTTTTACATATCTGAAACGTTTCATTCCCAGTTCTACATGGTTCCAATGGTCTTAAACAGTATGAAACAGTCCTTTCCTGAGTAATGTTCTTAGATCTATTGAAAATATTTTTAATTACTGCCAGGTAAAGGTAGGTACCTTGACCTAACTAGTCTAAGACTAAAAGGAATGACATTTTGAGAAGCTTGTGATAAAATAATTGCTGTAACCTGTATTGAAACATGAAAATTATACTCGAAAGAACAACTAAATTCCAGAAATTTTGCTCATGACTTCCAAAATTCATTGGAAGGAAGTTCCGACTTCCTAAAAAAGTTCTTAGTGGAAGCCATGTGTAAAATACGAAACCTACATAATTTACCAGGTGAGGGGTTTGGGTAAACAATAATGATACATGAACAAGAAAATGATTTAAATTATCTGAGAATCATGCATTAGCAATGGCAAACTGAGTGAAAATACTATGTAAAGCATATATTCGTGTTTTACAATTGAATGTCAATTGAGCTTGGCATACTTTTGATTACATCTGTCATAACCATGTCAAACAAAACCAAATCTTAACATGTAAAACAAAAACGTCACTTACTTGGAGATTCCAAAAACTCCATGGTTTTTATTATACATGGCTTTCAATGTGAAACATATTTACGAAGATTCCTTTGCGAGAACTGCATGATATAAAATATTCGCTGACAAGGTTTGTCACAGGCGTTACCAGGATAAAAAATGGATCAATAGGAGCATTACTTGTCATTAAATTATAATCGTTTAAGCTAGTGACAATGTTTTTGTGTTATCTGTATGTCAAAATTGTTGTATTTGATATTTACGGTAATTGTTTTATTCAAATAGATTAATGTTTATATAATTTTTGTATATTTCTATTTAATACAAACGCACATGGTATTTCTTACCAATTGTCAGGGAGGTTGTCAGTCTGAAGAATGACAGAACATAAGCGGTGAGAAATAGTCCAAAACATAGCTGAAAAAAATATATAATTTGAAATTAACTTCAAATACAAACAGAAGCCGTTACAGGTCTTTAGCTGGTGTTAATATTAATGTTTATATCCAACAAGAATTTGTAACAATGTTTATATATACTAGAATATGCTACAGTGCTTCCGAGGGATCACTTTGTTTCCAGATTTTTTTTACCAAAATCTGGAAACAAAGTGACCGCTCGGAAGCATTTATCAAATTAAAATTACATGAAAATTGCAGACTCGGTTTGATTTAGTCTTACATGACAGGTAATGAATAATTGAAGCATTCTAAACGCCCTCTAGCACCGGCTTGAACAGTACTCAATACTCAACACCTACTAGTGCTGGTATCAATGATCACAAAGGACTAGAACTATATAACAACACTGCAGGTCCCCCGCCTAAGAGAAGTCAAATCGAGTCTGCAATTCTTATGTAATTGTGTTGTGATTTATGCTTCCGAGGGATCACTTTGTTTCCAGATTATTTTACATGTAAAATTGTGGTGTTATGGATCTGGACATTCAGTGCAATGCTAGATCTGCACATTTTGCAATAAATTCACTCAGAAATAGAATGCATTAACTCCTGTGTATGTCTCAGGCGAAATACATTTATATAGGGTTATCACCTTTAAAACCACAAATGTGATAAATGAAAATCAGTACAATGTATGGTCTGTTACCAGGTATATCACTTGTTCGGCCCGGTATCTTTTCATTGATTAAGTTATGAAGGCCATTCACCGATGACATGTTATTTACTTATTTTGCATCATACATGTGTGCAAAGTATATTCGGAATCACTTGATTGAAGAAAAATATACCTTATAACAGATCATGTTAAACTTAGACCTCAAAGTGTGACCTTGAAGGTAGGCGTCTGCGTGTTACGCTTTACATGTTGTTTCATTATTGTTAACATTTTTGCCAAGATATTTCAAAATCCCTTGAACGATGGATAAACTATTGACCGGACACATAGTATACACAATAACAGAACATGTTGATTTTGACCTCAAAGTGTGTCCTTGACCTTGTAAGTAGGGCAAGACACATCGTCTTATTATTTTGCACAATTGTACCTTGCAATTTCAAATTCAATTGATCTATGAAAAAATTATAGGCCGGACATAAGTTTACACTATGACAGACCTTGTTAAGATTTAACCTTGATCCGGGGGTAGGCGCATGGGTGTTGCACAGGACATGTCAAATTATTGTAAAAATTTGTATTATTTTTTAAATCCATTGATAGAAGAAATAGTAATGGACAAGACACGACAAATATCCTCCACAACAGACAATTTTGAGATTAAATCACCAAGTTTGACCTTGACCTTGCAGGGTGCGCATGACATATTTTCTCATTTTAAGAAGCATTGTTGCCAAAGTATTTAAAATTCATTTGATGAACGGCTTAGTTATGGACCAGACGGACGGGCAGACAGAAAGACAGTCGGACGGATGTAGAGACGAACGGAGTCCATTTCTGTATCTCACTTTATTCATTGAAAAGGTGCCGGACAATAAAGATTGCCTGTTTAAAGTCAAATATAAAAAGCTCAAAATGATTAGAGAAAGTGTATATTATGATCATAATGTTAATCAATAAAAATCTCACAAAAAACCCTCACAATGCATTCAACGCTTATAATATTAGGAGCCAATAAATAAAAAGGCTCACAAATTTAGAGCTTATGCAATTCCTTTGAATATACTTATAATTAGAATACTCGACAAAATACCATATCTATTTTACTTTTTTTCTGACACAAACTGCAGTTCAAAATTCATTACAGATCATGTAGGTTATGTGAATGATATACCAAAAATTATCAGAAAGGTTTGATTTGATGGTAAATGCAATAGATTTACGAAAAGAATCAGATTTGGTACATAATACAGAAAATGAAATAATAAAATGATGAAAAATTTCGACGCTGACTCAATCTTTCTTAATATAACACAATGGTACAACATCAGTAACACATGATCGGTCACGTGATCCATTCTTTAAGTAGAACAAAACAAACATGAATAGCAAAGACAGCAGCTCACCAAGCAGAGTAAGTTATTTTGATAATTCACTTCTGATTTTCGTTTTTAAAGATTAACCTGACCTGGCGACAATCACGAGAGACGCGGTTTCTTCTCTCCGCCAGGTTTGTTAACAAGCTATGCGTGAGTTTGAGTCACGCGACCTCCGTTGATGTAACATACACTTAGTGATACCGTCGGGATTTTCCGACGATAAATTTGCGATTAAATTTAGATTCTGACCGTCTTATTTTTTGTTATTCATTTGAAGATATCTTTCACACATACAAAGCTTAACGTTTTTTTCTATTACACCTGTATGAAATGTTACAGGATCTTTAAAAGAGAACAAGTTGCTTGAAGATGCAAAATGTATATTTCTTTGAACAGCCAAGAAATGTCAAAACAACATCATTTCATAACGTCATAGAACATTATACTAGTATTGAAAATGTTAATTGAAACATAACAAATTATATTAAAAAATAATATTTACTTGAAATACAAAAATTTCTTTAATGTCGTCTGAAAAAATTGCCTGATGCAGGGTAACGCAAACAGATTTCACTCCAAGTTCAATGTTGCCCAAACTTGTATGCCACACATGTCTCAATGTTTCGCCATAAAATTGTGCTGACCTTGATAGAAAATAATTTGAAGGGATATTATTAGATATTTTTAAACTTTGTAAATAAGAAATATAAGTAATATACAGTCAATATAAATTATTAATCTTTCTCGTGTTTTTAATTAAATCAGCTAATTTAGATAATTCACGCATAAATCTCGCTCAAGTTTTGCATAGGAATTAATGAAATTAAACTATTGGGAATTTCATTAAGTAAACGTTTTCTTTAAATTTTTACGTTAAATAAATGCATGTAAATTAATAAACCAATAAATTAGGTAACATTGTTAAAGTACAGTTTAACAAAACAAAGAGTTATACAAAATATGTTATCTATGCAATTATTTGACTGGAAAATGAAACAAAATATTTTACTGCAGCATAACCTAGTTAATAAATCCTTTTAAGTTTTTTTTTATTTATTCAAGTCATAACAGAACTGGAACAGACAAGAACAGAGATAGTGAAAAAAATGAAACATACAATTAGTTGTATTGCATGTATTTATAAGATCAATAAATATAAACATACATATAGTAATAACAAGGTATATACACTTTTCTTATAATAGAATAAATAGGGCAAATTAAAACAAAATAATATATTCATCTTCTATATCTTTTAGGTTGCAAGATAGTATATTTTCGTTCCAATGTAACAAATTTTTTATTTTGAGAAATATCAGGTATGCAGTATTACTTACTCTCGCAGATTTGAAGTGTCCATTCGCTTTATTTTTGTAATTATGAAGAAGAAACGCATAGATAATGCCATTATGATGAATAAAAGTGTAATGTGAAAAATCGCCGTCGTTGCATTGTTTTCCGATACATAATAAAGCAAAGCTAATATTCCATCTAGAACTAGAATTGATTGTGGTGCATCACGCCAGTAAATCAAGTTCAAAACTGTAAAATAATAAACATTGTATTAGATGAAAATATAATGAAATAAACGATAAAAAATTTAAAAGTATGACTTGAATTAAGGTACGCTATATAATGTTAAAAGCAAAATATCTTTATTTTGTATACGGCTTCTCTGAATATTAAAGTAAAGTAAATGACTAATGTTAGCTTACATTTGTTTCTATCTTGTGTACATCCTGAAATAAATAAGCGAACATGATTATGTATATACATGTACATTTTATAAATTTACTTTTAAACTGATAATATACATCACATGAAGTCACATGAGCCAATCTTATAGACCTTATTACAACGCTATTTAAAATCAACAGGGTGTACTACTTTTTCGCACATGAACAATCTGCGTAGGGCAAAATATCATTGCTTTACATAAAACGTAGTAGAAGCTCAAAGACAATCCCGAGTTAGTTTAAAGTAAAAATCATGAAATTATATTAAGTAGCTTTTAACAACAACAAAAAAGATTCTTGTAATCAAAAATATATGGAAATGATGACTTTTTGAAAATAGTTTCCCTTTTTTGACCACTTCGGAATGTAAAATCATTAATAGACAATTGTTGGGAAAATGTCAAATATATTCAATAGCAGCAAAAGTGATCTACTTAATTGATCTTGAAATAGTTATAAAAAAACACACAAGAGATTTATATATAATATGATTTCGAAGTTAATTATGATCATTCTGAAAAAGGTCAGATAACGCGACAGTGCATATTCATGAACATGTTTACCTGATTTTATCCATTACACGATTTAACTTTGGGCCAAAATTAAAAATCACAATGGTCCTGAATGCGTAATTCTATGCAGAAATGTTAATTTGTATTACTTAAATATTAATTCGGCATTGCATCCACAATTTAAAAAAGGAAACAATGCTAGACGAATAGTTCATCATTTAGATTACATCGAATAGTTTATGAAATTGTTGTTAACTATTGCTCATGTTTATATGCTTGCATTTTTGCCACTTTCGTTTCTATAGAAATTTCGTATTGTAAAAAAGTATATTCTTTTGAAACGACAAAATTGAGATAAGTATGTTATAACAATAGAAGTATGAAATAAAAGGATGTTTAACGAGTTAACGAGTGTTATCAAATTAAACTAATTCAAAACGAGTCCATGGAAATTGTTAAAATATAAGTTTGTGTGATTCCTTTTTATAGGCTAGAAAATGCAACCATTTGTTTTATTAAACCTGTAAAGTAATATGTGATGGTTATGTTATCATGAAAAGAAATGAGGCAATATGATGTAAAGTACCTCTTCCCCCGACTTCAAATGTTTCTGTATCATTGAGGTCCTCCTGATTATCACCTTTAGAAAACGAAAATATTATATATTAGTTGTTGTTGAAACATAAAGCTTAAATTTTCTATGATTGTAAAACTACTACATTGCTTTTCAAATAGTTCATTTCAAAAAACTAAGGAGATTTATATAATATGAAATCGAACAGAAATGATAAGAACACTTGATAATGCATATACATGAACATCATTTTAATTTTCAATTACCTGATTTTATCCTTTATGCGATTAATGTGTTTAAGTAATTAGAAGTTAAGAACATTTCCCAGATGTGTAGAGATATAACACACATTTTATCCAGAATAACGTTACACATTTTTAAAAATCTTGGTAAATGCACACCACACTATTAATCATTTATCAAAATTAATTCCGTACTTTGATGAGATAGGTACATATTTAAGTTATTAAAATGGAGATTATCATAATTTTACGTTATGTCATGGTACTAAAACCTCCCGGTTGAGTAATATAGTCTGTGTGATTCCTTTATACAGGCTAGAAAATACAAACATCACTGTTTGGTCAATTTTATATTAATCCTGTAAATTATTCAGTATTATTAAATAATCTATAAATAGCTTTGAAATGCATTTCCCTGATTGGCTATCAAGCAACTATTTGTAAAAAACAGGTCAATATGAGAGTATATTCACTGTTTTTTCCCTAAAAATAAGATTTTCTTGTAATCCCCAGAAAGACGCGAGATAAGACGTGACGTCACGCCTAGTTTGTTGTTATTTACAGAAGAAGAAAAAACGTTGAGTGACTTGTAAATAAGAGTCCAATTAGTCTTTTGTAGTTACCGACTTTACATTTTAAGAACAATACGAATTAGCGTGCCAATGCGCACAAGCTGAAAAATAACGATTTCCGTCGTATTCAATGGCAGATTTGAAAAGCCATATAAAAGCTTTTTATGAATTATATCAGAAAACAGTTATGTATTTTTAGCTGTTGATAAGATGAGATCTGTACTAAAAAATAATACTGACCTCGGCTATTGTCCATATTAGTATAATACGTGATTGTTATGTTATCATGTAAAGAAATGGGGCAATATTAAATTAGTTTACCTCTTCCCCCGACTTCAAATGTTTCTGCTACAGTATCTCTGAGGTCCTCCTGATTATTATCTTTAAAAAGAAAATCTTTGCTATAAGTTGTTGTTGAATTATCTACTATGATTGCTAAACGGATTTAATATTGCTGCCTTCAATATAATAAAACTAATTTGTCATCGGTTATTTAAATGTTTAATCAGGGGTAACACTAGGATAACTCAACAAAAATAGTTAATACACGACCATACAAGCTATCAAGTTTCCTAACATACTCGTAAATTTCTATATTAAAATAATAGCAAAAGCTATACCATTTTGTTGAGAGTAAAAAAATCTCTTGACATACCTAGCTGTTACCAAAATATAACATTTCTAAAAGCATTATTCTAAAACTAAAGAGAAGATAACGATTAAAATAAAGATATTTGGCTTATGAACATTGTCATACATGAAGTGGGTGTTGACAAAGAACAATTATCTTAAGTGGGTGGCTGCTAGGCCAAGTGGTTAACGTTTCGCACTAGTAATCTTATAATCGTTAGTCGCATGTGTCCAAACTCCGTCACGGGCAAGTCTTTTTTTCCTTGGGCAAGAAACTTTACACTCATTGCTCAGTACTGGTAATCCTAAAGTGTGTCTATAAGCTTAAAGCTTCATACACAATCGAACTAAAATAAAATCTGTATAAAACAATTTTATCTTTTAATAGTTCCAAAAAGAAGAAAAGTAAAAAATAACAATTTTAAAATGCATACCATTTATAGAAACAAAGAAGAAAAGTTAAAAAAATATAATAATTTTCAAATATAGTGAAAAACTTATAGTGAAAAATAGTTTATTGCGTACAAAATTTAATCAGAAACATAGACGTGGTTGCCGACGCTGCGTGAGTAGGACAGCTCTCAATATACTACTTATAGTTGAACTTTAAATGATGTGCATAATTTCCATACTGCTATCTATCCATATTTAAAGTTTCATAAAAATATTTTAAGTTCTTTTTGATTAATCATGAATATCATTATATTTGCTATATCTTGGGTCTTTTGTGTTGCCATAGCAAACAAATGTTTAGAAAAAAATGTGCATAATCTCCAGACTGCCATACTCATATATCAAGTTTAATAAAAATATTTTCAATTGTTTTTGCGTTATCACGGAATCTAGTTTTTCTGTTATATTTGCCATATTTGAGTCTATTTGATGTCATTGCAATCAAATTTATCAACAAAGGAAGAAACATAAATGTGCATAATCTCAAAACAGTCCTTTATGATCCATATATATTGTTTAATAAAGATATTTTCAGTACTCTTTGTGTTATCACAGGATCCAGTTTTGTTGACGGACGGACTGACAGATGGACAGACAGACGGACGGAGGGTAAACCTAATAAATGTATAAAATGATCAGGTCATTGTTTCAATTTCCATGCCATTATTGTCATAACATGTTTTTATATAGTTTTCAAGTGATACCAATTTGCTGTTATTCACAAGACTAAGTAAAATTTATGTACTCTTCTATGGCATGATTAAAAAATAATATACTTCTAGGAGTCAGATGCAATTCCGATTCATTAGGTAATATTTCAATGGTTTCTATGTCGACACTGATCTCGCTGTCTGGTCGTTTAAACATCAACGTAGTCGTATCATCAATTCCAAAATTACGTTTGCCTACAAAATAAAATAAGAAGACTGAACAGTCTCATCTTATTTTTAAATAATTACAAATACACTGAAAAAAAGCCCAAAAGAAAACAAATGCAATTTATGTAATTTAGTAGATGGGAAATTTTGATAATATCTTTTTAAGCATTTGGTTACATTGCAGTTGGTAATTACTCTAACGTGTCCCAGCCGCACAAGGGTATCTTAGCAGCTCAGGGGCTAAAAAGCCTTTTGAGTGGTTTTAATTGGAACAAGACTTCAATAAGTTTTGATCTTATCACTTACCTTTAGCATTTTGTTTAACTGCTATTCATAAATATACTATAATGTCCTTTCATGTCAGAAATATTATTTACCCATGTTGAAACAGACTACGAAATATTGACGTAACATCTAAATGGTGTAATCAGAATTATACATACATCGTTCCATAAAATTCTCTGGCGACTTGTGAGCAATCTGTACCTTCTCGTTTCCATGTTTCACAATAAAAGATTTAACATGCTCACTCATGGTTTTTCTTTTACGTTGAGTATAATTCAAGAAGTCCTGAAAAGAAACAAATGAATACAATTTGAATTAATGGTACTTATTTCAAATCGATAAACATCATGTGTATACAATCATTTGCAAAATAAAGGAGTACATTTAACCTGAATCGTCTAATTGTCCCAAATTTATCTATAACTTTCCTTTGTATAAGAGGATCATCAGTGGGAAGTTCATTGAAAGTTCATTTTGTTAAAAATTGACAAAGTAGCATAACAAAACAACAAACGATAATATCATTTATCAATGTTTGGAGGATAGTTTTGAATCATATATTTACAAAAGATTACCAACTTTTCTTTCCTGTCACAATTAAAAAGTATAGAATATTAAATAGAATTTACAAGGGGTTTGAACAAGAAATAGTTTGTGACCACGAATGCGAACAAAAGCAGTGACCTTCACCTTTTGGAGGGGTAGGAAGGAAAACTTTTGGCGATTTTTACAAGAAATATGTATCGTATTTCAATAATCATAAGCACAATGTATGCTCCACATTGTCTGCTTTTATTAGGTAGATAAAATGTTGTTTAATGCTTTGCCGGAGAACATTCAAACATAAATGTCGTAGCAGGAAGTGTACAAACACGCTACGGATAGAAGAAAACTTTCACATTTTATGCTATAATGTATCGATTGATCAGACATTTCACGGCAAACTAGAACCGTCCACTACAGTTAAATCGATAATTGACTGTTGTTTTTTAAGTAACTACGATTGTCACAATCTTAAAAAACACCAAATTCAAAACCCCATCACTTATAGGAGCTAAGACGTGCATAAACTCTAGTAAGTCGAACCCACATCGTAATATCATTTTTGTGTATATACAAATGCTTAGAAAATGTATATTTGCATTGCTCAAAACAAAAATGACTGTAAATATAATCAAAATGCAGACATCATAAATGGTCTCATATAGAACATATTGAATGAGTGTAGATTTATACTTTAAGTTTGTGAACGAGTTAATTAAATCGTTTAATGCGAGTCTTAGGCGAACATTATATGGTTTTGTAAAAGGTGTTCAACAAATCTAGTATTGAGTCTGCGAGAAAATAAAATAAGAACAGTTTACAGTTTAAAAGAATCATTTTTCATAAGCACACCTAAAGTGTAAGGCCAACACTAGCGCGATTTAATACCATGATTGTACATAACGGAAATAACTTTACGTCAAAGCGTTATCACACTACTGTAATGATCCTTGTTTAAATGACTTGATTACACCTATGCACCATACTTCGTTTACTATCCCCTAACCAGTAAAATCGGAAGAAAGATGGTTGGTTGAATTATAATGAAACTCGGCCTGACTGTGGGTACTATAACAAGAAAATCAATGTTATTATCTCCCGCCGATGGAATCGGGAGGGGGATATAGTTTTAGCGTTGTCCGTCCGTCTGTCCATCCGTCCGTCCGTCTGTCGATTCGCCCGTCCGAATTTCGTTTCCGGACTAGTTCTCTGCAACTACTGGCTGGAATTCAACGAAACTTGATGGGAATCATCATTATCGAGAGGAGATGCGCATATCGTCGGCTTGTTCCAGTCAGACCTTTTAACTCAGAGTTATGGCCCTTGATTAGTTATGTAGTATGCATATAGAGTAAAATCGTTTCCGCGCTACTTTTCTGCAACAACTGGCTGGAATTCAACGAAACTTTATGGAAACCTTCAATATCAAGAGGGGATGCGCATATCGTCGGCTTGTTCCAGTCAGACCTTTTACCTCAGAGTTATGGCCCTTGATTAGTTATGCAGTATGCATATAGAGTAAAAGTCGATTCCGTGCTACTTATCTGGAACTACTTGCTGGAATTCAACGAAACTTTACAGGAACCTTCTATACCAAGAGAAGATGCGCATATCGTCGCCTTGCTCCGGTCAGACATTTTAACTCAGAGTTATAGCCCTTGATTAGTTATGCAGTATGCATATAGAGCAAAATCATTTCCGCGCTACTTCTCTGCAACTACTGGCTGGAATACAACAGAACTTTATTGGAACCTTCAATACCAAGAGGGGATGCTTATATCGTCACCTTGTTCGGGTCAGACACTTTAACTCAGAGTTATGGCTCTTGACTAGTTATGCAGAATGCATATAGAGCAAAAATCGTTTCCGCGCTACTTCTCTGCAACTACTGGCTGGAATTCAACAAAACTTTATGGGAACCCTCAATGCCATGAGAAGATGCGCATATCATTGTCTTGTTGGGGTCAGACATTTTACAGAGTTATGGCCCTTGATTAGTTATGCAGTATGCATATAGAAAAATATTCGTTTCTGCGCTACTTCTCTGCAACTACTGGCTGAGAATTCAATGAAACGTTATTGGAACCTTCAATACCAAGAGGAGATGAGCATATCGTCGCCTTGTTCGGGTCAGACATTTTAACTTAGAATTATGGCCCTTGATAACTTATGCAGTATACAACCAGAGCAATAATCGTTTCCGTGCTACTTCTCTGTAACTTATGGAATGATATTGAGGTAAAAATTACACAATGCCTGCTTGCACTTTCATCACGCTTGTTGACAATTACACACTCCCTGCTTACTGTTACAATTTACTCATTGACACTGCTATTGTGCTTATTGGTACAGTCATTTTGCATGCTTGCCTTTCCATCACGCCTTTTGACAATGATACCATGCTTACTGGAAGTTACAACTTGCTTGGTGTTTAGTCCCTAATGTCTATATGGCTGAATGACAGTGCAATGTAGCGTAATGAAATATTTCAACATGCCGGGACTGTATATAAGCTTTGGTATTTCAACATTGCACAGTTATAATGCTCCTAGAACATTACACACGATGTGACCACACCAAATGAAAGATGC